TATAAAAAAATATATATATATATATATATATATATATTTATATATATATATGTATAAATAACTATAGCATCAAAGTGAAAGTTCTGTTTGAAATGCATCCTTTCTCAAAAAGCTCTTTTTGTCAAAATTTTTCTTGGAAACGTGGGTTTTCAAGAAACTTACCAATGTTCAACTGCTGTTTACTAATGAATGATAAAAGGCAGAAGTGGACTTTCTTTCCTGATGAAGGAAAAGGGTAAATGCTTTCTTTTGGTAAGTTACATGCTTATGTAGCTACAAAAATCAATTTTCTGTAGGCCTTCAAAGATTTGTCAAAACGTTTGAGAAAGGCTCTCCCAATTTGAGAAAAACAACCGGCATTAAATGAGTTAAAAGACTTCCTTTTAGGTTTAGTATATGGCTCCCAGGGACAACGCCCTCTAAAAATGTAGCGAAGAAAATCAGCCTGTAATAATAATAATTTCTACAATCAACAATAGGGACCTCGCAGTGGTTCCTGGTCGGGCCCTAACAGTCATAATAATAATTTCTACAAAAACAATAGGAACCTCGCAGCGGTCGCTACATTAATCTAATAATAATTAATTATTACAAAACAACAGGTACCCCATAGCGGTTGCTGGTGGGGCCCGAATAATTTCTACAAAAACAATAGGGACCTCGCAGCCGTCGTTGTTCAGGCCCAAATAAGAAAAGAATAATTCCGAAAAAAAGTGGTCACTGGTCAGGTTCTAACTAGAGCTGCAACCAGCTATTAAGGGCCCTTGCAGCCTGTGCCACTTTGCTGTACTGGAACACTGGAATTTTTTGAAAACGGCACAATAAACCTCAAACCTTTTTTTTCCACGTTTAAACTTTAATTTGTGGTCACTTCTCAGTGTTTTCTTTTCTTTTTTTAATACACATTCAAATTAAAGACACAGAGTAAAAAAGCTGAATTTAGGTTATTTTATTTTCAACTATTTTGGTGAGGCACTCACCTTTTGAAGACAGAAATTGTCATATCAAAACTATACATAATTTTCATTTTTAATAATTCCTCACAGATTTGGCTGATAACAGAAGCAGAGATGAAAGTGGACTTTCCTGAAAATTCTGGAAAAAAGAAAGAAAAAAAAAATATATATATATATATATATGTGTGTGTGTGTATGTCACACTTGGCCGATCATGCATAAATTCGTTTATACAAAACGCTATTCAAATACTCGACATTCAATGATTAATCTTCCTTTTGTGTGCACACGTGCACTCTTTGTGGCTTCCGTTCTCGCCGAAATTTCAAAATCTCCGAAATATGGCGAGGCCATGAGATTGCAAGGAGAGGGTATTGCTGTTGTGGCGACGCCACTCGAGCAAAGCGCGCCTCAGCAGTAGATAGTCCGCTGCTCTCTGCTGTGCGTGCCTAAACTAGCCAAGACGACACTCGAAGTCAGACAGACACGTTTTTCTGCTAATCTGTGTTTTTCCCTTTTTGTCCAAATATATTTTTTACGACAACAACTGTCTTGTCCACGGCGTCTTTTATTCGTTCCACTGCCGTTTAGCAAGTGTGTTTATAAAGAGACGAAAATCTCTTTACTGTTACTAGTGTTAGTGCCTCAACATGGCTACGCTCGTGAAAGCAAAACAACGAACTCAAACGCGTGTTCGTTCAATGTTGTCAACTAATATCCGGATTAATTTTAGGCAATTTTTTTCCTCAATTCTCCGGAGAAATTTTCATTAAAATTTGAAAATCCGGAATTCCCGGAAAATCCGGAGGACTTTCATCTCTGCAGAAGGCACCTTCATTTTGAAAATTGACAAATTATTATTACTGCTGGTTTTTTTTTAACAATCTTGTTCAATTTCTCAAGTTGCTTTGAAGATGCTGGCTCTGTAGTACTGCAGCTCTTTTATGCTCTCCCGGATATCCTCCAAAGCTCTAAAAGAGAAAACAAAATCTGTTTCTGCCTATTGAATGATCATCACAAGACTCAACCTTCTTTGATCCAGGACACCCAAATGTTTTCACACGTCACCCGAAAAAAGGGAAGCTACACAACTCTTACTGAGCGAGCAGACGGCGATAAGACCACAAGGCTTCTTTTTCATCTCCAGAAACAAATAAATGTTGAGTTTGTCTCGCGGGAACACAGCTGTGATTAGACTTTCAAGATGGCAAACAGTGCACTGATGTGTGCGGCAATGCTCTTGATACTTCGGCTTTATTGTCTGTTTTTAATGATTGGTGCTTTACTGACAGACTCTCCACTAGTGTATGACCTCCACTCCTTTTTAAACTTGCAACACAACATTGGAGGTTCGGGTGCATTTGAACACGGTTGGGAGAAAAGGTTGCATCCATTCTTGGCTGACATCCCAGTGAAGGGATCAGTATTGGTTTCCAATTGTTTAGAATATTGGTGGGGGTTTTATTGACTTCTTGATACTCTTCATTTTGACTGTTTTCATTGGAAAACTAATAAAGAAAGTTGGATAAATAAGTAAATAAGTCAGTATGCTTAAAAAAAAAAAATCCCAAACTTAATGTATATCAACAGTAGCAGCCTGATACAACCGCTCTGCAAGAAGGAGAGGTACCGCCGCTCGTTCCTGCCGACTGCTGTCAGGCTACTGAATAGACAGACCTGAAAACCTGGACTCAGCCCCACTCATGCATTTTTAATAAGCTTATATATACATTTTAGAATGTATATTTATTCATATACTTTTTGTTCTTCTACTTCTCCCTTTCATAATTTTGCTGCTGTAAATTGGGAATTTCTCCATTGTGAGACAAATAAAGGTTTTCTTATCTCATCTTAAATAGTCTATATCAGTGTTCCCCAGGCCGCGGACCAGTACCGGTCCGTGGCTCATTTGGTAAGAGGCCGCACAGAAAGATTAAATAACTTGCATTACTTCCGTTTTATTCATTTCGGAATCTGAAAGATGTTTTAATTTGAAAAATTACCGGATTCTCTGTTACATCGGTCTACAGTATGTTACTCTTGATGCAGGTCAAGCCGCGCTTCTCTGTCACGTGGTACATTACCGCTAAAATGAAACCCAGGAGCTCGCAAAATGAGGAAAAAAACGTCTTTGGAAAGTTTCTTTGGGAAGGGGAAAAGGCCCAGTCAGGCGACAGAAGAGGAGCCTATGACTTTCAAGAAAAAGAAGGCTACATTTAATGGACGGGATCAGGAGTCCTACTGAAAATACAGATTTATCTCAACGGGAGATTCCCACGCACGACGCCCACTGTGCATAATATGCAACGATGGTGAGTCGTATTTTTCATGCGCTTTTTATTTGTGATGTATCTTATTTTGAAGGCAAGTTTAAATATCATAGCGACCAGAGAGTGTTGTGGCCAGATCGGACTCATGTAATGATTCGTGTTTATTATTATGTTTTGAAAATACCAGTTTTCATGCAGGTCATATCATGGTATACCATTGTATTGCTCTGGCCTTAAAGGCCGGTCCCTGAAAATTGTCTTACATTAAAAAAAATTGTCTGACATTAAACCGGACCGTGGGGCAAAAGAGGTTGGGTACTGCTGGTCTATATGACTTGTACCAATGAATGAAATCAAGAAATGTATTATTTTACATTTTCATGGACTGCACTAAGCCTGTTGAACGAATCCAACTGAAAATTTGTCAGTAAAGCCTGAAGTCATTGATCATGCTCTTGGCCAAATATTGTGACTATTAGACATTGTCATTACCTTCTATTTGAGAAAAAGAATGCAGTCGTGAGACTTTAAGTGATACAGATGGTGTGTATGTTTAGTAACTGAACTATAACTATTCCTTTTGATGTGATCGTCGTAGCTGAGGATAATGTGGGTATTAGCCTTCAAGCTCCAAACTAATGACACTTTTTACCCAGCAATATTCACAACTTACCCTTTAAGTCAGGGGTCCCCAACCTTTTTTGCCCCACGGACCGGTTTAAGTCAGACAATATTTTCAGGGACCGGCATTTAAGGTGTGGCGGATTAATACAACAAAATAATATGGTATGAGCTGCATGAAAACTGTGGTGTTTTCGAAATATAATAATAAACACAAGGAGCGTCTAATCTGGTCGCAACACTCTTATCGCTCTGGTAATGTTTAATGCCTTCAAAATACGATACAACGCAAATTCAAAGTGCATGAAAATGACGACTCACCACAGCCCCGAGCTTGATTTTCTGCAATCAGACAGTCCCATCTCGGGGTAATAGGAGACAATGACACCTCAAGTGTGTGGTTTATGTCGAGTCTACTTCGTAATTTTGTTTTAGTCGCTGTTGCCGCAGGAAATTCAGCGTTTTGTTTATAAGCGTCATCGGTCACCTGACCGAGAAGTGTGCCTTGACGTGAGTCAAGCGTGACACAGACGGATGTACAGTAACAGAGAATCCGGTAATTTTTCAAAATAAAACATATTTCGTATTCCGAAATAAATAAAACGGAAATAAGGCAAGTTCTTTCTGTGCGGCCCGGTACCAAATGCCCTGCGGACCGGTACCGGTCCGCGGACCGGCGGTTGGGGACCCCTGCTTTAAGTGACCTGTTGAGAGCTGTTTGATTTAAAATAAGAAAATGTTGTTTTTATTTCACAACACGTACTGTGACCTGTTAATCTTCTAATCTTTCAGAAATTAAACTAAGACTAGTAAAAATGAAACTAAAACAAAGCATTTATCCGGCAAAAATACAAACAACCAAATCACTCTCAAAACGGACAAAATAAAATAAAAACAAACAATGAAAAATACAAAACTATTGTAAAAACCCTGGTCAGTGAGTGAGTCAGTGGACGAATGAGTGAGTGCGCGAGCGAGCCAGTCAGTCAGTCTTAATGGAAGCTTGACGCAGAAGCCAACAGTATGGGACCCTTCAAATAAAAGTTGAGCATTGGTGTTACCGTATTTTCCGCACTATAAGGCGCACCTAAAAAGCATTCAATTTTCTCAAAAGCCAACAGTGCGCCATATAATCCGATGCGCCTTATATAAAGAGCCTGTAACGCTCTTCATATTCCCCATTGAGTTGTTTACCTGGTAGTGTTCCTCTGCCATCTAGTGGTGATTATTAGCAGGAACCAATTGTAACCTAAAACAGTTCTGCCCGACACTAATGTGCATTTCGTCAACACACACTCAAACAGACAACTACTTTGCGAGCTTTTCGCAGCCATAATGAAACGAAGATAATCCCAAAAGCATAGCTAACTACTGACTAAATGAAGAAGGAGACAAGCAAGACTTCTCAGGACATTTAGCCCCATGTAGATGTGAGCCCACGAGGTTTGTGTGCCTTTTTGTTGAATCAATTGTCTTCATAACTTTTGTCTTTCATTTATTGTTTTATAATGCCATTTGTATTTACATGTTTCATGTCCGCGTTTGTGACCAGTTCTAATGGCTTTGCGACAGCTGCAGCAGTTCTGAAGGCTGTATTTTAGGTGCGCTTTATAATCTGAAGCGCTTTATAGTGCAGAAAATACGGAATTTATTGACAAATTTATGGCAAAGCACAAGGACACTTGGATTAAATGACAAGAGGTGTCAAATTATCGCGTTAATTGCGAATAATTAATTACGTCCATATTTAGCGCGTTATGTTTTTTTTAATTGTGTTAATCTAAATTTTAATCTCTAACTTTATTGTTTCTGTAGGTGTGTTGCCTTTTTCTAATATCCCTTTTCATGTGTTGGCTTCCTGTGTTCGAGTTGTTGAGGGTGGGGAAACAACTGTCAGTCACTGCCTGAAGCGGACATTTATTGGCTGTCATTATCAGGGATGAGACTGGCTAGTGATGAAAAAGCGGAAGGGGCGTGGCCGGGACGGGGGCGTGGCCACTTACAAAAGTGGCACTAAACATGCTGAAGATGAAGTGTATTCAATTTACACACAGATTTTAAACTTTAACAGAAAAAAATCCCAAGATTGTTCACTATTCTTTCAAGTGAAAATTTGTGCAATTTTGCTTATGCATTCCTGGTGAGCACCAATATGTAACTTCAAATTTGCTGCTCAAAATCAAAACTAAAAAAGGAAAAACATCCCCTGCCATATTTAAGATTTGTTCATTACTTGTATTCATAAAGTGTTGTGTAAATGTGATAAAAAGCCTTTGATTCTTACCTCATACAGTGATAGTGAAGTCCCACACTGTTTTCTATATATGGTTATGAATGTATTTTATTATATAAAGTGGATGTCTATTTACAGTATATACAACAATATACAGTTTCATGAGGTAGAATACTTTATTTTCTCTTCATTTTAAGCTTTTTAGCAAGCGCTAAAAGCTTATTGGTCCTCTCCGTCTTTTTCCAATCTCTTTTTAGCCAACTCCTCTTGTTTTTACACATGCTCCAGGCTGTCGAAAAGCGCTTGAGATCGAGTAGTTACTTTTCAGTAGAAATGTCTGTTTTCGGTGTTTCACCGAGGTTGCGTGACTCTGTAAAGCTTTCCATCCTCTCGATCCGTATAGAATGACATCGTCACACACTGTACACAGAGCTTTACCGGCGACATCGAGCTTTTTCACGAAATCCGACACAAGCACAATGGTTCCTCTTTACTGTTTCCTGCTGGGGACACCGTCAGCTTTCTATCCAACCAGTCCCATCGAAACGTGTTTTTCAGATCCGCATCTATCTGACGCACTTTAGCTTCATCGCGAGTCTCGATAACATTCGGCATTCACGAGAAAGGGGTTTAGGAAGGCGAACACGGATTGGTTGTGATTTGCATTTGCCGATATAGCGACAGTAAGACATTAGCCCGTATGTTTTTTACGGATTTGGAACAATATAAAATGGGTCCATTTTGACTGGAAAAAAGCGGAATTCCGCCAAAACGCGGAAAAATCTCATCCCTGCATTATGTTTGGGCTTGTTTAGCATAAACTGATTGGCTCCCATTGGAATTGGGCGGGGTAAGTAAGCAGCGGCGAGGAGAGGTGAAAATGGAGGAGCATGTGAGCGTTCTCAGCACAATGAATGGGCAATTTGCATTCCAAAAACGCCCTGACAGCACTATTGATAAAAGTAGAGTGTTGTGCCTAAATTGTATAGCATTTGCTTACCACCGAAGCAGCTCAAGTTTAGCGTCCCACATCAATGCAAAGCACCCAGTCGCGAGTGCGGCCACGGCTAACGTTATCACCGAAAGCGTTCGCAATGGAGGAAGCAATAGCAAAGCTCTTCGCCAAACTAAACTTGAGAAGACCCCGCGTACGAGGCATGAAGTCAGCATAGCTGCTGTGTCCTCTGTAGCCTATTTGAAGTGGTTGATGTTTGATTACAGCACTTTATTTTGTCATGATGAACAGTGTTATTTTTGAAGTGCTAATTTACAGTACTGTGCTTTCAGGGTCTGTTTTATTTATCTGAAACAGGTTCCATGTTCGGTACTTGTATTGCTCAGAAAAGTGTTCTTACTGTTTTTGATGTTAACCAAAGCACTTTTTTTGGATCTGATGTTCTCTTTAATTTTTATTTTGTAACTATTTGGAGATTTCCAAAAACAAAACAGTGATTTTCCCCCTAGTGGTCGAAACTCAAGGTTGCAGGTAGGATTTGGGATTACAGTAGTCTCAAATACAGCAGAAAGTAAATGCCTTGGACTGCATCTGTTCAAGTCTGTTTATAAACAATAAAATACTTTATAATACCACTTTTTTGTGATGTGAATCTTTTGATCTACCCCAATGCTCAATAATGTAATCAATTTAAAACGAAAATAGGGTTTTTTCAGCAATTTTTAGATGAGATTAAAATATAGATTAATTAGGTGATTAATTACATATCATCATTAATTAATCTCACTTTTTTAAATCTCTTGACAGCACTATAAATGACAACTCTAAGGCTTGAACGACCTTGAGTTAATAAATCTTTACCTGTGGCTTGCTTTCTTGCATGGCACCATCTCATATTCCACCGGAAACCACCTCCTAAATTTACCAAAAAAAAAAAAATAACATTTTGTCACACATCAAGCCATACAAAGAGTCTTGTCTATAATTAATATGACTGGGATTCCTGACAAATAACACTAATATTGAGGTAAACTGTTCTGTGAGGTTGGCAACAAACAATATTTCAAAATGTGTTTGTTTTATGCAGATCTTGCCAAACTACAGAAATTACCTGAGTGTGGAATAGTATGTGCTTGTATGTACAGTGTCTTGCGAAAAGTATTGAACTCTTTGATCTTTTGCCACATTCCATCCATTGATGACATGGTTCGAGTTACAACAGCTTTTGTATTCAGGGTGAAGCCGACTTTTAAAGTAAATTCAAAATGTTGGACTTCCCGTTAGATTTAACATATGGTTCCAAGGTACTTTTTTGTAGGTCTTTGCCTGTTAAATATACCACCAAATTTTTGTAGATGGAGGTGAAACGTACAGGAACTGCATTTTTTTTTCTAGGGGGCACTAGTGAGCCAAATTTAAAAGAGTACACAAAAAAAAAAAAAAACGAATACAGTATTGGTGATTTTGCCAGACCTGATGTATGTGCAAAGTTACATGACTTTCTGTGCATTTTTAGACCCTCACAATTAAAGTTGCTTTCTTGGTGAACTGCGTATTTCCACGGCAACAGTGTTTCGTAAAAATTCAAAAACTTCAAGTTTTATCAACATGACAGCCAAAACACTCTTTCGAAAACATATGAAGTAGATCTTGCCTTCTCGGCAGCATGGGTATGCCAGCAATGTTTTTGATTGGGAGGAATGTCGGCGCCATTTGACTGTCGTTGCTGGACAGCTCCGGGGGCGCTTGTGTCTTGCGCCTGTAATGGGCAGCATTTTCACAGCCCCGCTTTGTTCAGCGGAGAGATCGGTGCTGTTGAACC